GTAGCCTCTTCCTAGCTCAGAGGAGAAGACTGTTCATCAACCAGTTTTGATTTTAGGACATATTGGATTTGGATAAATAGAAAGCTCACTTATTTACCCCAATTTCCCATTTATGTTTATGTCCTCGAAAGCATCAAACCTAAATATCCAGCTAAAAAATCGAAAGACAAATACAAAAGCAACCCTTTACCATAGTCTTTCAAAAACTTCTTGTGACGTTCATAAGCATTCAGGCCACGAATATGCGCTTGGTATTGCCTGAGGAAGGACGATTGAGCAATGAAATCAAACAAAAGAGGAAGAACACAGAATCAGACAGATTCGAACATAGTGAACAAAAGAAAGAAGAGAATCGAGATGAAACGAAGATTTAACTGTTTCCGTTCTTCTCTGTCGTAGATTTCAGATCTGATAGTTGCCGAAGAAGCCATGTCTCCGATGTCGGCCGATGACACTCGTCGTCAACCTTTAAGCTATCTGACTCTCTTCTTTTTTTTTCGCCGATTGCTCCAATTGTTTCTATAGGCTTGGGCCGTATATACAATAATGGGCCTTTGTGGTTAATAGTTTGGACTTTTAGGCCTTGAATTTTACTATGCGGATCTAATATTCGGTTCCAACGGATCTTTGATGTTAGTAATTTAGTATGTTGCTATATAGATCCGGACACTCCGGAATCCGGATACTTTAAGTTAAAGTCTTTAACGGATCCCAATTCAGGTTTTGGATTTCAGATAACTTAACGAAGCATTAATCAACTATGGAGATAATTTCAACATCTTAAATCGCTATCAAATCGTTGTATATTCTTAGTATCAATCAGTACTTGACAAGAACTAAGGATTATAAGCATCAAATATATGAGAGAAATTAGGCATTTTAGATTATAAGCAAGAACACTGACACTGTATTTGTCAAACGAATTTAAAATCTAACATAAACTGACAGTAACACCCAAACTCGAGAAACCTAATAGGACACTGAATGATGATGGAGTAAGAAGAAGAAAGAACTACAAACGTCTTTTAAAAGGGAAATAGTCTAAGAATTATAAATCACAAGCTATGACTACAAACAGCTTCCTAAGAGTTGAGAAAAGCTGTGAAAGAAGCTTTAAACCAACCATAGTTAATCATTTGATGTCACGTAAATAGCTTCTCTGATGTGTTTGTGTAATAAACTTCATCTCTCACTTCTTTTTCTACCTTGAATATCTCAGCATCATTGAAATCTGCACACATTCATTTCAACTTTTTTTGTTTAAACATCATATCTTAGAAAAATTTTTAAAAAAAAAAACTGAAACAGATTGTGTGAGGATGCTGAATCTTTTTACCTGAGCCCAAGTCATCAGTTTCATCGATGATAGGTGCTACTTGTGTCTTCTTAACTGACTCGAGCGACTTCCAGTCCGAGCTTCCAATTTCTTCTACAAAAGCTTGGTCTCTGGAAACCCATTCTCAAGAACATCCATCCTCTTGTG